AACTTGGTTTGCTTAAAAAAATAAATTGTAAAAATATCAAACTTACAGCAGCATAATTAGGACTACCACAGCTGGTTTTTAAAAACTCACCATCCTTAATTATGTTCGAAAGGCCATAATCTGCTATCTTAACATTATCAAAAGCATCCAATAATAAACTAAGTACATGTATATTTTGCATAAGAGTAAATAAAATACACAATTTTAATAATATCTTTAAAAAAAATCAAGAAATTTACTTTTCAGGCTTCAAATCTCTATTAAAAACAATGAATATTAGTTTTTTTTTATAAATTTGATTAAAAAAAATAAATTAAAATCTTTAAAGGTACCTATGAACAATTCCTCTGCGGTGTGAGTATTCTATGGCAGAAATTATTTGCTGGAAAAATCTTCTTGCATCAGTTTCATTCATCTATGATTCAAAAATAAAAATAAAGTAAATAAGTTTGTATATTTACAAAATGTATTCTTTCCCAAAACCCAAAGTAAAATTCGATATTAAACTTAAAGACAAAATAGACTTACTTTCCCTTTTTCAACTAAATAATTGAAAAGTTCACCTCCCGCAAATTCCATGACCATAATTATGTCTACTGGAGTAGATATGACTTCGTATAGTTTAATTATGTGTGGATGTCTGAGCATTTTGAGATATTGAATTTCACGATTAACTCGACCCGCCATATCAGAATGAGTAAGCTTATTTCTACTAATGATTTTAAGAGCAACAACTTGTTTTGTGTAATCATGCACAGCCTCTAATAGAAAAAAATAAAATGATTAAGTTTGGAAATAACGATATAATAGACAAAAAGGCATACTTTTTACTTTGCCAAAAGAGCCCGATCCTACGGTTTTGACGATTGTATAATCGCCTATTTTTTGCTGGATAGGCATGGTTTAGTTAATAAATAAATTCTAAATATTTTTCTTTGAGGAAAGGTAGAGATGAATAGAATAATTCTACAGATAGTAAACTTAGGGTAAAATAGGGCATGGGAGAATTTAAAAAGAGTCGCCTAATGAATTTGTAAACAGTGATGTATGGAAAGGTTGTATTATTGGTGTTTCAAAATACCAAAAAGCTCACGCATAAAAAAATTCGATATGCTATCAAGTTGCCTAGAGCTTTAAAAAAAGTTTGCTAGAGTTAGAAGTCTATAGGCTAAATGGTTTGGTCATTAAAAATGCAGTTTGAAGCTCCATAGTTGGGCGAGAATGGAGATTCGATTTAATTAAAAAAACCAATGATGTTGGTGAAGCTCTAATTGAGTTGTTAAACCCGAAATTTCAGTTTAAAAAAAATTATTGAATTTTTATTTTCTTTTATTTTTTTAAAATTATTCAATTTAAAAAATAATCTATTGAGTACACATCATCAGTATAATTAATAATGCTTTTGATAAAGTTCTTGTTTTATGCATAATTATGTTTCAACGCTCTCGAATATTTGAGTAAGCTTTAATTATCCCTTTAATTTATTCCAAAAGTTTTGCAAATAACAACAGTTGTTTTAAATGCAATTATTGAAATTAAGCGCTTTTTAATCCACCCTATTAAAATTATTCATAGATTTTACTTACAATGTATGGGCAAAATTATTTTTAATTGTTAAATGAAATAAGCTATTGGGTATAAATTATTGAGCTAACTATAACTGTAGGTATTTGATAACCAATAATAAGCATGTAAAAACTGTGGATTTGCTGCGCATACATTTACAAATATATAAAAAATTAAAAATTATGCCTGCTGGCGAGAATCGAACCACCGACCTTCTGCTTACGAGGCAGACGCTCTACCAACTGAGCTAAGAAGGCATAATAACCCTA